GGGTTTGTGCATCTTTACACAGCTCAGCCTGAAGCTGAGTTTTGAGATAACCAAAAAATGTGTTCTTTTTTCCCCCCAGCTTTATTTCTGGGGTCACATTTCCCAGATGCTGGCAGAAAGAGGAGTTGATTATGGTGCAGTTGCAGTCCTGCAGAGATTTTAAAAGGCCCAGGCACCATGGGGTGATTTCAGAGGGTGCTGGGACTGTCTGCACAGGCTGGAGCTCGCTGTCCAGGGGGCTGTGCTGGGATAGAGGAGTGGAAAGCTCTGGGGCTGTGTTGGCAGAGGGTGGATAAGCTTGGTGTTGATGCCACTGGGGCTGCTCAGCTTCCCTGAGGGGGAAGGGTGTTTGCAGAGCAGGAAGGTGCTACACCTGCTCTCTGTTTGCCAGAGTGGTGTTTTCAGCACTAACTCAGTGCCTGGCTTGTCTCAGGGTTGGGGAATTCCTGGGAAGGCTGTTATCTGATGAGCCACTTAACCACAGCCTGCTGGCCTGTGAAAACAGACCAAGCCCTGTGTCCTCACTGGCTGCTCCAAAGTGAGTGGAAAAGGCTCTTCAGGAGGGCTTTTCCTCCTGGAGGTTTAGCACAGATCACAGGCTGGTTGGGGTTGGAGGGACCTTAAAGCTCATCCAGTCCCACTCCTGCCATGGGCAGGGACACCTTCCACCAGCCCAGGTTGCTCCAAGCCCCATCCAACCTGGCCTTGGACATTCAGGGATGGGGCAGCCACAGCTTCTCTGGGCACCCTCCAGGCTGTGCCATCACACAGTGCTCCCCAAAACAAGCCCCACAGGGATGAGCCATGCAGGGATTGCTGTGCCCTGCCCTGCAGCTCCCTGCACATCATCTGCTGCAGCACTCCTGCCATCCTGTCACCTTCTGGTCATCCCAGATTTCAGTGGGTACCCTGCTGTGGCTGCCAGTGTTTGTTCTTTGGGCACCACCAGTGTGCCAAGCAGTCCAAAGACCACAGGAAGAGCCGTGGTCCCTCCCACCTCCCTGGCACGGAAGAAAACTGAACTTTCTCATCAGACCTTGCTCGTGGGGCACGAAGTAACCAGGCAGCAGTTGCCCTGTTTTGTGCACAGGATATTCCCAGGGCTGGTGGAAGGTTTGCTCTGTGATTTAAAGCCATTGTAGTCTGGAGCCCATTTCCGAGGTACTTCCCCTCTGGGATCTCTGCTGGGATTGGCCCCGGACCAGCACTCGGAATGTTCGAGGCCAGGGCCTGGCAGGGCTGGGCTGGGAGCCCTGTCCCCAAAACACCCTGCCCTAAACCTGAGGGGCACAGGAGCCCGGGGCAAGGAGCAGAAGTGCATCCCCTCATCTCTGAGGGGAACATCTACCCCAGGACAGAGCTTGCCCAGAGAAGCTGTGGCTGCCCCATCCCTGGAAGTGTCCAAGGCCAGGTTGGACGGTGGTTCCATGGAAGGTGTCCCAGCCCATGGCAGGAGGTGGAACTGGATGAGCTTTAAGGTCCCTTCCAGCCCCAACCAGTGTGTGATTCCATGACCATGGCCACCCCAGGAACGTGTCTGCTGGCACAGCCAGGGAGACAGCGGTGAGAGAACAGCCCTGGGCTCTGCTGGGCACCAGCTCAGGGCACTGGAGGTGTCAGGCTGAGTCTGTGTCATTGTCATTATGACCTTTTAGCTTTGCAGTGTCATGCAGAGCCCCAGGAGAGCCATGTTTGCAGTGTGGGGTCTCAGTGTGCAGAGTTTGGGGATGTGGTGCTGTTCTCTGGGGGCTCCTCAGCTGCTCTATGGGCTGCTGAGCCAACAGACCCTCCTTGGGTGGTGCCTGCTGGGGTAACCAGGGGCTGGGGGGGCATCTGCAGAGTGTGAGCTGTTCCCAGGGAGCAAAAGGAACCTCTTCCTGCAGCTGCTCCCTGCCTGTAACAGGGCCTGTTTGGGGCTGGTGTTGCCCAGTGTGGGCCTTTCCCTGCAGTCCACGCTCTGTTTTCCCCCTGCTCTCCCACAGCAGAGCGCTGTGGGTGCCCCAGAGCAGAGTGTGGGCTCACACAGCACCTGCAATAACATGTTTTTCCCAGCCCTGGGGGAGGGCAGGCGGGCACAGAGCCACTGGCAGCCACTTCAGTCGCTGCTGTATCTGGTGGCAAACTCCCCTTCACGCCATCTGCATCCTCCTTTCCCAGCACCGTGAGATTAAACCCTGTTTTCTCTTTGTAAATATTGGCAGGGCCGGGGCAGCCTCCCTGAATGAAAACAATGGTGGGGAGGCCAGTTCCCAGCATGTGCAGGGCCTGGCACAGCCCCTGCTCACCCCCCTCCCTGCCCCAGCTCCCAGTGTGGACAGAAGCTTCATCCCATATCCCAGGCCTTCATCTGGCTGCATCCCAGACGACTTTGCTAGCAGGAACCTGGGCTTTGGAGGCAGCTGGGGGTGCTCAGCCCCTGGGGGCTGGGTTGCCACTGTCCCCAGCACATTTTCTGGGGGGAGCAGGCTGGTGGATGTACTGCAAAACCACAGCTGTAGTGATGGGACAAGGAGTACAGGTTGAAAGGGGGCAAATTTAGGTCAGATGTTAGGGGGACATTTTTTACTGTGAGGGTGGTGAGGCCCTGGCACAGGTTGCCCAGGGAGTCTGTGGATGCCCCAACCCTGGCAGTGTTGGACAAGGCCTTGAACAACCTGGCCTAGTGGGAGAGGTCCCTGGCAGGGAGTGTTGGGACTAGATGATCTTAAAGGTTCCTTTCAACTCCTTAACATTGTAGGATTCTGTGGAAGAGGGAGAAGCAGAGCTCTTCCCTCTGGAAATGCGTGTTGGAGAGTTCAATGTCACTGTGAGGGAATCAAGGGCTGGGATCTCACTACACAAAAATGATGGCAAAATATATCCAGCTTGGAGAAATGTAATTTTGGCTGGTCATGTCCCCCCTCAGCCTTGCACACCATTCCCAGGACACACATTGGGGTAGTTGCCTTTCTCTGACTTTTGGCACAGGGGGCAATCTCCTCTCCTGGCTGGAGTTTTCCCAGGTGGCTGGGGCAGGGAGTCTGCAAATGGCTGAGGTGGAGGAAGGGAGGGAAAGGGGCACTTTGCTCTCAACAGCCAGCAGGAGCTGAGCATGGCTGGATGTAAATTCAATCAAAGAGATGGACTGTAATTGAATCAGAGAGGGGCTGCAGGGCAGGGGGAGGTGAGCTGCCGTCTGTCACCAGCAAGGGGATATGAGATGTCCTTGGAATTGCTCTCAGCCTCGCTCCAGGGGAATCACAGGAGCTCTGGAGGGCTGGGAATGTGTGGTGGTTGCAGCATCAATGTGGGCACTGCTCTCCTTGCAGCTGCACTGATGGATTTGAGGCTCTGCTCAGCTCTTGCCTCCTTTCACTTCTGGCCCCAAGTGCCATGAGATGCCAGCCTGGATTTCCATCCCAGTACCCACCCTCTGAAAGTGGGAACAACTGAGAACCTTCCTAGGGATGAGTGGGTGGCACAGTGGTGCAGCCTGGGGAACTGCTGGCATGGGAGTGGGAGAGACTGGGACATCTGGGATGGCAAAGAGCCCCATGACTCTCCAAGGATGCTCAGAGCATCATTCCCCCCCGGGATCTGGGGGGTGAGGGGGAGCCCCACCACCCTGTGTCCCTGAATCCCAAACCTCTCTTCATTCTGCATGTGCTCAGGAATTTTCATGCATTTTCAGTGTTTAGGCCTGTTTCTGCTGTAGGAATTGATGTGGTGAGGTCCAGACCTAAGAAAGCTCCAACCTTGTCTCTCATGGAAGTCTCCTTGGAGGGGCAAAGGACCAAACCAGAGATCCCTTTCCCTGGAGGTGGCGTGGGAGCTTGGTTTATTTACCACTTCAGAAGGGATTTTGGATTAAACGTGAATGAATTCACATCCAATGCAAACAGTGCTTTAAATGGTGTGACTAAAGAGCATTTCCCCTTTTGGCTGTGTTGTGTCTCTGGAGTCACAAAGCTGCAGGTTCTCTCTGACCTTTCTGGGAAAAAACAGGCTATTGGGGACCTGCCCTTCTGGAAGGAAATTCTAGGGGGAAAGGAAAGGCCTTTTTCATGCCTCTTAGTGAAAGACACTTTTTTCTTTCTTTGCAGTCTGTCCTGAAGTCCTGCTTTTGTATTTTTTTTTTTTTTCTTTTCCCATCTGGTCACAGAAGGAGATGATCCAGCCTTGGGCATTTCTGGACCCTTTCTAAAGCAAAACCTGCAAAATCCCAACAGGCAGCAGATGTTACTAATGCTTAATCTTTAGCGTGAGAGATAGGCAGTTTGAGGGTTGGGAGATGGTTGCTGAGAGAACTTGGTCAGAAAGTTCCTTAAATGAGTGAGATTTGGCCCAAAGAAAACCTGTCCAAGAGGAACAAGTCCATATCAAAAAAGGACACATGCAGGGAAGGGGCGGTGGCACAAGAGAAGGTGGGCTCAGCTGGGATGACTTCCCATCGTTTCTCTTCATTCCTTCCTTGCTCACAGAGAGTGTGTGACTAGAACTTCATCCCCAAATCCACCCCAGAGTGTGCACTAAGTGAGGAGCAGGATGGGGAGGCTGCTCTGGAGCTTCCCTGAGCTCGGTCTTTCCTCCCTGCCCCACCCAGCCCGCAGGCTCTTGTTCTCATCAGTTCATGCTCCGGTGCCTCGTTTATGTTTGCATACGGCAAAGAGCAATTTCCACCCTCTAAATTAGCTTAATAGACCCGTTTCCACTCAGGTGGCCCAGGGAGCAGAGCTGCTGGGGCTCTGCCCGTGCTGTACCTCTGCACTCCTGCTCTGAAGGCAGGCTCAGCTCCCCCGCACCACTCAGCCCTTCTCCCTCTCTCTGGAGGAGATGCCACTGGGAGCTGATTTCCCTCTGCTTTGCTCTCTCTGTCCTGAGCTCAGGACACGGTGGGAGCTCTCCTGTTAGACTTGCTCTCTTCTGCTGTGGCGTGTGGGGAGCGAGGAGTTTGCAAACACAGCCGGGCCTGCGACACACGGCTAATGACCTTCTCCCTGCCTGTGTTTCCTTTACGTCAGAAGTCGGAGTGCTTATTAAGTTTGGAGGCTTACTCCCAGGAGCAGAAGAAGAGGATCTGCTGGTGTCTGGCTGAGAACATCACCAAGCAGCAACATCCGGCATCGGCTCCTACGGAGAACAAGGTAAGGGAGCCAGGCGGGAGCCGGAGAACCCTGCGCGGAGCGTCGGGGGCTCGGCCTGCGCGGGGGCTTTGCTCTGCTGGTGCTCCAGCCAGGTGGGCACTGCTGCAGCCTGTTTGTCTGCCAGGTGAGGAGTGAGTTTGTGATCAGGCACTGCCGTGACTGCAGCTTCCTGCCCTGCTCGGGGGAGCAGTTACTGCATTTGCATCCTCTGGCTGGGGCTGGGCTGGGCTGACACCTCCCTGCATCTGTGTTTGGACAGCTGAGCTCCTGCAGCCCAGTGTCCAGCCTTCCCCCTCAGCTCGGCTCTGGGGCACCACTGGGAGCAGAGGGAGAGGCTCAAACTGTGATCTCTGGGCCCTGATTAAAGGCCGAGGTCATGGGAGTGGCAGTGCAGGGATTTGCCCCTCTGTGTCCTCGGATGGGCTCAGGCGTTTGATCTGGACCCCACAGGTGACCCCAAAGCACAGAGGTCGTTTGGTGGGTGCTGTTTTTCGTACCTAGTGAGGCAGCCCCAGCACTTCTCCCGCACTGAAGAGCTCCAGCCCAGCCCGAGAGCGCTGGCTCAGCAGCTCTGACAGAGAAATGTGTGTTGGAGGGGTTTGAAGCACTGTCAGGCACGCCTGCCCTGTGTGGGTGTCCTTAACACCCCTGTCTGCCTGGCTTTGGGGCTGAGGCTGCTCTCTGGGACAGTGGCAACCTCTGCTGATTACTCTCATCCCCTGGGGGTCGGGTTTGGATGGTTGGTGAGTGACCCGTTGCTCTGGCAGAAGAGAAACACCCTGTGCTGAGTGTTTGAAGAGCTCTGGGTGAGGCAGATGGGGGTAAAACCCCCGGATCCCTGCCTTGGCTGGTGTGTGGTGGAGGAGCAGCCCCTGCCCCACATCCTGGTGTGGGTGCAGAGTGGGCTGGGTGGCTCCGAGGAGGTGACTCGGGAGGTGACTCGGGAGGTGACTCGGGAGGTGACTCGGGAGGTGACTCGCTCGGTACCCGCGGGCACAGCAGGAGCCGGGGGCAGGGTGACGTGGCTTCTGCTCTGCAGCCTCCAAACTGGGTCAGCACAAACATCTCCGCAGGAGACAGAGCCTCTGGATTCCTTTTCTTGCACGTTTCAGGAGGACTAAAATAGCAACAGCTCCCGGAGCCTGAGAACAGCAGCGTTACCAACCAAACTCCCGCACCGCTGACGGCCCCGGGGCTGATTCACCGCCTGCCACGGCTCCTCTTTTGCTGTGGTGCATCCTGTTGGCACAGCACTGTGCCCAGGCACGGGGGCCCTGCTGGCTTGGCATGGGGGGGACCGTGTGATGGGGCTGCTCTGGGGGCCTTGGCCTGGCTCTGTGCTCTGCTGTGTGTGATCCAGCCACGGGCTGGGGATGATGTGCAGGGACATGTCCCAACCTGAGCATCTTAAAGAGACCCTAAAAGGGGCATCCTGCTGGCTCTCCATCATGACAGGTGTTCTGGGACTGTTTGGGCTTTGGGGTGACGGTGCTGTTTGCCCTCCCCATCCCAGACTCTGTTCGTGGCAGGGTGTGGGGTTGTGTCTCACAGCAAAGCCCTGGAGTGTCTGCTCCCTGAGTCGTGGGAGCCTGGACAGGTGAAAAAATACTCTAGAAGACATCACAAACCTTCTCCAGGCTTTTCTGTGCCTCAGTAGCCAAGAGGGTGTTCCTTGGGTGCCATGGAGAGCCAGTGTGGGCCCTTCAATGTTGTGACAAAGGGGTTTTATCTTAACTTACCAAAGCTGATGGAAATCCCACTGGGGGCATCCATGGCCAGGAGGGAGAAAAGGAGCGTGAGAGCAACCACCAGGCACTTCACTGAGTTCATAGCACCAAATCCCATCCCAGCAAGCTGTAAAGTGCCCAGGATGCAATTGTAAAGCCAACCTGATGTGAAATGCAGGAAGGAGCAGTGTGGGGAAGGCAGGACAGCCCTGCATGGGGCTGCAGCTCCTGAGGGGACAGTAAAGGTTGTCAGAGCAGGGTGGGCAATCAGGGCAGGAGCCTGACATGGGTGAGCTGCAGCTGGGGCTGTGACCAGGCTGCACCACAGCTGGTTTGTCGGGGCAAACTGCTCAGGGAGTGCCAGTGCAGCGGGAGGCAGGAATTAGGATAATCTGTTGCTTTTTGCAAAGGGAGACCCGATCCATTAGTCTCCTTACAAGTCATTTGATACTGGGGCTATTTGGGGAAAAACTCAGTGTCTGTGCTCTGTGAACAGACAAATTAAGCTGGAAACATCAGCCTTGATAGGAATCTGATTTTCAAAGCCTTCCAAACTGCTCCAGCTCAGCAAGGGGCAGCTCATCTCACTGCGGCCGAGGGGATGAGGGCTCTGCTGTGCCATGTGAGCGAAGGGCTGGCACAGCCCCTGTGCCAGGCAGAGATGTGCCATGTGCCAGCTGTGCACTGGAACCAGAGAAAGGGACATTGTCTGAGCAGACAGCAGCTCCTCAGGAGCCCCTGTGGCTGCTACACCAGTGTGTGAGCTGGGAACAGCTCTCGCTTCAACCTGCTCAGAAATCACATCAGTTCTGGGCTTTGGGATGGTACCTCTCGTTTTTCGATTCCCCCCTGAGCCCTGCCTGGGTAGGGCAGCACAGGAAGGTCCCTGTGGCTCAGGGACATGGCTCTGCAGAGCTGTCAGGGCCTCTGGCAGCGTCTCCTGGGAGGATGGTGTCAAGCCTGGAGGATGATCCCTGCATGGGGTCTGTGCTGGCACTGCTGCTTTCAGAGCAGCTGGTTTTGGAGCAGAGCTGCCGGTTTCTGGGAGGCACGAGCACATGGTGCACATAGCATCCACCTCTGGAGATGGAGAAGAAAGACATGAGGGATACAGCTGTGATGGTGCAGATGTGCTCCCAGTGAGCTTTTCCTGCCAGAGTCAGTGCAGAGGAGCTCTGGGGATAACTGAGGCTGTCAGCGTGGTCTGGCTCTCTATCCCTGGTGTCCAGGGCATGTGGTGGAAGTGGGGTTCCAGTGGCTTCTCTGATACCACTGTAAGACTTGAGTGAATTTCCCTGAGCTGCAGCCCCATCCTGTCAGCGACAGCAGGTCCCAGAAGCTGTTCTGTGGATATTTTATCCACTGGCAGAGCCTTCCCCCCTCTCCCCCTCAGGTCCACGTCTGCCCCAGGATGCTGCTCCCTGTGCCTGTGCTGAGCAAGCAGCTGGAAAACACATCCCCAGAGTGACACAGCTTGGCAAGCAGCGTTCCCAAACGGGCATGTGTGGAGCCTGGAGCTGGGCTGGGGCTGTGAGGAACCACAGCCACGGCAATGTGATTATGGCAGAGCAGCTTTATGCATTAACTGAGTTAGGGAGGCGGCCTCCGCGGGCCGGGTAATGACTGTCTGGTTCACCCTCCACCGCTGCACCGGGCCTGGTGCTAGCCCAGATTGCATTAACGTGACTGAGGAGAGGGCAAACTGCAGGGCAGGGGCTGGAGCTGCTCCAGCTGGTTTGGCTACCAGGGAAAGGTTTAGCGGCACAACCCCCTGCATGCAACGGAGCTGCTGCCACCATCTGATTCTCACTGCTTGTTTCTTTGTGTCTTCCACACTCAGAACGGCTGATTACTCTTCCTTCTGACTCCGTGACCTGAGATTACCTCGGAGATGATGGCTGGCTGTGTCTGAGAGATGCAGATTATCCTTAAGCTAAATAATTACGGACACTCGGTGGTGTGGACTTTGGGAGTCCAGGACGGGTGCTTCCCCCTTGTTTCCCGAGGGAGGTGGTGGATGCTCAGCACTTTCCAGAGCCCGGCTGCCGTCCCTCTCCCGTGGCTGCTGACGGTGTGAGCAGGCGTGGACCGACCCTGCGCCCCGGCCCTTCCTGGCAGCGCTGGCTCCGGTGCTGGGAATGAGCCGCCGGTGGGATGCGCGGCCGGGGGGGACCGGCCGGCCCCTTCCTGGCCGTTCCTCTGCTCAGGAAGGGCAGGGCTGTTTCTCTCACTATTTACAACGTGCTTGACAAGTGCGAGTAAATGAGCTGTCAGCAAAAGCAAACAGTGTGTAATCGAGGGGTGATTGAAAGCAGGGCCGGCGGGAGGGGAGGGAGGGGCGGCCGTGCCCCCCGGGCACCTGCACCGTGGGGACTGTCCCGTGGGGGTGACCCCTCTCCTGTCCCATGCCCTGCCTCCTCTTCCTCACCCTGAGCACCCCAATGTGCCCCAGCCCACTCTGCACCCGTGTCCCTCTGCAGTCCCTGTTCCCTGGCACCTCCCTGCCCCAGTAACACCCATTTTCCACACACTGGGGCATCTCCCAGACCTTCCTTTGCATGGTGGCCGTGCACACACTTGAGCTGGCACAGCAGGGGCTACTGGCATCGGGGTGGCCATGACAAGCACGTGTGATAAGGTGCTGGTGACAAGGCTGGGGACAGGTGGGGTGAATGTCCTCTCTGAGTGCTCCACTCAGCTCAGTGTAGTCAGTGTGTGATTGACTGGCTGTTTGACAGGGAAGGAGGGGAGGATTTTGTACCCTCCTAGTTTATTTTTGGCTCGAAGTCTTTCCATTTGGGGCTGGGAACCTGCTGCCCTGTCTGTGCCAGCTCTGCTCCAGGGGGTCTTGTTCACCTGCTGCAGATGGCCAAAGGTGCAGGAAACCTGGATCTTCACCAGAGCCTGCTTTCCTTCCATGGTGCCAACACCAGAGGCTGGGCAGGGCTGGGCATGTCACAGCAGCACCTGGAGGGCCAACCAGCCCTCTGTCCTGTCCCAGCACCTCGTTTGTGCTGTCAGGGTGCTCAAATGGGGGAGAAAACCTGGAGGTTGATTCTGCCCCAATAAGAGTTAAAGCATGAACTGGTAAGACTTAAAGCCAGGTCACAACAATAAACCAAAACACAGCCCAGCTCTTGCTCTGGGCTGGAAAAACTCAGCACCAAGGACAGCCAAAGGCTGCTCCAGTAATGCCATGAATTTGGGAGGCTGTGGGACCAGAGATGCTCTTCCTCTGTGAGTCAGACTCCAGCTCAGCTCTGTCCACTGAAA